GGGTTACCCTTGGGGGTGTTGGGGTTTGACGAACTCTTTCAGATTTTTTCAATGCTGAAAGTAGTTGCGATTGTGGTGAGCTGAGCTTTTTTTTTTAGGTCATTTCGTCGACTGCTGCCTTTAAAAAGAAAGTTATGGGAGAAGGGGAAGAGAAAGATTGCTTAGAGAGGTGCAGGTTGTGGAGGGGAGAGAATTAGATGGTTGTATAAAGAATTTGAAAAGAGGTGAAGAGACATTTCACAGCCGGTCAGTCGTCAGGCCGTTGTCCACTGCAACTCGACGGAACAGCAAGGCAATCTTGCTCTTCTTTTTTCTTCTGTTATTGTTAAGTAACCAACTTCCTCTTTACTGCATCTACTTCTCCTTGGAGAGAACATGGGAGGAAGAGAAGAATGAGGTGGGGGGAAAGGGGGGAGAGAACATGGGAGGAAGAGAAGAATGAGGTGAGGTGGGGGGAAAGGGGGGAAAGACGGGGAAGAGGGGAAGGGGCGGATGGAAAGTTGTTGGCTTTGTGGACATCATTACACTGTATAGCAATGTCGGTGCAGGTGGTCGTCATTGTTTCCCATTGCTTTGCAGGACGTGGTCTGTAAGGAGAGAGGTCGTTGCCGCGGCACATAATGAACAAGGAAAAAAAAAAAAAGAAAAAAAAAAAAAGGGCAGCGCGTATTGAACTCAACCCGAGGTACAGAAGCAAAGGGTGTTAAAGAAGAGAAAAGAAAAAGAAAAAAAAAAAGACCGGGGACTCCCCAAGTCCCATCTACAATGTACAACAAACTCCTATAGCAAAGTGGGCCACGGATGGAACTCTGCACGCCGATAATTTTTGCTTCCGGAGTGTTCTGGCCTTAAGATTTCGATACCGAGGGCCGGGATTAACCAAAACGGTGGTTTCTAATGAAATGTGTCCGGGCCTACCTGGTGGACACGTGGTTCTTTGTGGGATTAGCTTTTTGGGCAGAAATACTGTGTTGTGGCCGTCGATAGAGCGATGTCGAACGGTGTTTGCTTAAAGTGCGGCGCGATCTGTGTTGGAGATTGTCAGAGCACCGCCTTGGTGCCTTTTTTTTACCAACATGCATTGTAAGAGAGAGAGAGAGAGAGAGAGAGAGAGAGAGAGAGAGAGAGAGAGAGAGAGAGAGAGAGAGAGAGAGAGAGATTGTTTACCCTCGATATTTTTGTTTGTTTCCTTGCCGTCCGCATTTGTATTTTTTGTGCTTTTGCTCTTGGTTCTGGGCACACATACAATCGCGCTAAATGGTAACATGCATGTGCCGCTCGCGCTCGCGCACGCGCTTCAGAGAGAGAGAGAGAGAGAGAGAGAGAGAGAGAGAGAGAGAGATGAAGTATCGTTCGCCTGTTGTTATCCTTTTCCATTCGCTATGCACTAGGATGGCTAAAGCTCAAAAGCAGGGTGTGTGCGTGTGTGTGTGAGAGAGAGAGAGAGAGAGAGAGAGAGAGAGAGAGAGAGAGAGAGAGAGAGAGAGAGAGAGAGAGAGAGAGAGAGATTTCTTTTAGGCTGTCTGTTGTTATCCTATTGCTATCACTTTCAGGGGCCTGAGGAGGATGGCCAAGGTCAGTCAACGATAGCTCGGTAGCTCACTGGGCAGGTGGAAGTGGCTGCTCAGTTTCTGCTGCAGCTGGTCGGGATGCATGCAATCATCATAGCTGACATTCATGACTCGATTACTATGATGTCTATCAGGTTTGAAAGAACTTCAAGACCCTCGATTACTACGGTAGGCAGCCCTCCCAGGTGTAAGGCATACGATAGGGGGATGTCTATAAGGGCTGAGACTCTCAACATACCTGTCATAAGAGAAATTCGAGAACCAAATAATCATGACATATCGTCTTCGACATTTTCAAGAATAATCTCGAGTTACCTGGGCCCAGTCACCGGTGGATATATCTCAAGACTGTCTTCATTCAAAAAAAAAAAGAGAGAAAAAAAGTAGTGGCTCATCTTCTAACACTTGAAGTGAGGATTATGAGTAAGGTTTGTGCTCCGTAGTCCTTTTTTTTCTTTTTTTTTTCCCTCAAGCATCCCTGAGTAGCCTATTTTTAGGGGGAGAGGGGTAACAAGAGAAACCTCCAATTCTTATCAGCACCCCTAGCAATTACTTGGGTTGTTTCTTGAAAAAAAAAAAGAAAAAAAAAGAAAAAAAAAAAGAAAAGAAAGAGAAACCTCCAATAATTGGCTCTCTGCTGTAGATGGCTCCAATCTACTATTCGTGTGGAGCAACACCAACTCGACAACGGGTCCAGCATCCCAATTACACATCAGGAGCCAATCCAGAAATCATAGTAGATGATACCCGAAGAGCGACATTGATTGCCCTCTTACGGAGGGATTAACTGCCCTTCAGTCGTTTGAAATGAGTGGCCATCAGTCGTGGAAAAGGCTGATTCTATATGTGAGCACCATTCAAGGAGAGAGCTGAGAGAGCGGGGGTCAAATGGTACAAGCAGAAGATGAAACATTACGCCTCCGGTCGTGCAAAAGTCAAGCATACAAAAGCCAGCGGAGGGATTGCAGGGAGAGCAATGGGAGGCCAGAGCAAAAAACCACCCAAGTACATAGCAATGCAAGTTACGCAACCTCCGAGGGGAGATATCTTCAATAACGCAAAGCACCCCTCCCAACTGTAAGGCATGCGATCAATTTAGCAGTCAAATCTCCCTCAGATCAAGGTCATAGTAGAGAGATGTATGTCAATCTTCAGAGCCACGAACGAGAGAGCAAAATAGAAAGATCTTTTTTTTTTTTTTTTTTTTTTTTTTTNTTTTTTTTTTTTTTTTTTTTTTTTTTTGCAAAATAGAAAGATTAAATGACAGAGATTGTGTTTGTGAGTGTGAAAAGGGAATGGAAAGGCATTCGACAAGTGGCGCATGCGAACAGCGAGCTATCGTCTTCACCCCAAACGCCCAGTCACTATAGCTGCATTTGGACTGAAAGTTGCCCCAAAAAATACAGCTATAATGATCCAGCGCTGTATTCGGGTGAAGACGGTAGCATGCGAAGAGGAGTTTAACACCTGCATGCTACCTTCTTACCCCGAAAAAAAAACGTACATACGTTGTGCAACAAATTTTTTGAGGTACAACTTTTCCAGGGCGGCCCTTTACGGGGTACGTATTTGAATACATGTTTTTATTTTTTTATTATTATTTTTTTAATATAAAACACACCCCCACCAGTGCTAGTGGTGCTGATAACAGCAGACACCACTAGCACCAGGGGAGAGGCTCCATCTACTGTGGGGAGCATCACCTGCTGGAAAACGGGTCCAACGTCCCATATACAGACTGAATTCGGAGTATATCAGAGAAACAAATGCGGGATATTCTTGCCAGCATTGATTACCCTGGGATCCAGGGGATTGATGTACTTACATCGTATTTGAATTTTGGGTTATGAGAGGGCGTCCCTGGAATGTAAGAGAGGACCCCAGACTCATCTCTTTGAGTGGAAATATATGCTGATTTTGGTGGGGGGGGGGGAAAATAAATGGATGTTCTACTTTGTACCCCCGCCCCCCCCCTCTCAAATTTGGTCGCAAATTTCAACAATACCCTCAGGGAAAAGATGTTTGTATTATGGTTACCAGCCCGTACATGTGGAGGCCCCCGGGCCGACCTTCGTACATTCGGGCAATCGAGGCCCAGTTTGGGAATCAAACCTGAAGCGGTTCGGCCCCCACCAAAAATGATTTTGGGGCCTAAAAAATATTTCTGTGTTTGAATCTTTTTTTGCGAGTTCTTTATGATGTGAAGTACATGCCTATAAATTTTGAATTCATTTTGCTTAGCCAAAAAAAACGAAAAATGGCCAAAGATGGCGGTGTCAAAACGTGCTCGCCCACTCACTTTTTTTTTTTTTTTTTCCTCTTTTCACTTTCTGTTTTCACTTTATTTGGGGGCCAAAACAATTTTATTATTATTATGTTTCATTTTTTAAATGGGTTTTCTTTTTTTTTATGTTTCTTTATAAAAGCCGGGAAGCGGGCCCGGCGTCCCTTACAAAATTAAGTGGGGCCCTGAGTGGGCGAGGCATCACCGGCCAAGCACATCGTGGGCACCACTAGATTACACCCCACAGGCAACTCCACAACCGACTCCACAGCCCTAACTACTAACGAGTCCACAAAATTTATCATCAAAATCTAAGTTCATCACTAAGAAGCTCTATTCACAGCAGTCGTTCTTAGGGGCTCGTTAGACACTCCTCGGGCGCCTAAAGTCCCCGAGGAATTGCTCGTTCCACTTATCCTTGGGGGTGCAGTCGGAAAAAAAAAGGTGAAAACACTCCGAAGGAAATTCCTCGGGCTCCGAGGATTCCCCAGCCATTTCTCCCTTTTGCCCAAGGGACCTCGTGAGGTCCCTTGGGCAAAAGGAATCCGCTTTTCACGGAGAGGAGCGGGCACACGCATAGAGAGATGTCACAACCGAGAATCTGGATCGTGGCGGCACCCTATTGGCTGAAGGCAGTAAGCACATTTGTTTTTGTTTTTTTTCCTTTTTTCTTTTCTGACATTGCTCCAAGGAAACGTCCTCGGGCAACGTCCCCGAGGACAGGTGGAACGAAGGGCCCAAATTTCCTTTTGACTAAAAGGAATTTTTCCTCGGGCTCCGAGGACGCCCCAAGGAGTGTCTAACGAGCCCCTTAGAGCACCAGTACTCGGCCCAGCTATCGGCCGCGGAAAAAAATAGAGTAGAAACGTTTCTAGTTGGATGAATTTGGGCGCTCCTGTAGTGTTCCGTACGTTTCCTAAAATCGCGTAGCGTTAACGGGCACGACTTTAGGAAGTACTGGTGGTTTAACTGCCAGTGTATGAATACCTGCCGACAACCCTAATTTAGGGGCCCCAATTCCACAATCCCATGTTCTAGAAGAAACCAATCAACCAGATTCAGAAACCCCACCAGGACCAAGAAAGCGTCAACCAACCCTCGTTCCACTGATCAGCCAACAATTATTTGGATTGACGTCCCAAAGGATGAAGTACGAAGGTCTGAAACTAATGTGGAATTCGCACTGATCTACCCTCAAAACCTAATTAACAAAGACAGTCGCACCAATTTCAACTCTATACCTTAGTATAGGCTTATAAATTGCAATCTTCCTTCTATGCACAGACTTTTTGGCTCCTCCATCTATGTTGGGAAGTTTAACGCGGTCGAACTTTGATAAGCAGGGTAGTTAAGCGAAGACCGTCCAGGATGGCAGACTCGGTGGGGGAGGCAGCATCAAGCCCAACATCTCCGATGATCCCCACTACATCGTTTGCACCACAC